CCGACAATATGCATTTTTGCTGGGTGTAGCAGCACTATAGCGCTGCTATAGCGCTGCACAGCAAAAACGCGTAAAAATAAGCAAGTGAGCGCACGAACCTCCGCACTGCTTTATGGCATAGTGGTTACAATATTCGGCGAGTCCAACAACAGTAAATAACAACAGTGACAACAACAAAAGCATGCAAATTATTACAGACGGCACTTACAAAAGCAAAATCATGAAGTAACGAAGCAGTGATTCCAGCAAACTTCAGCATCTGCCGATCATCGCAGATTTCACGGTACCTGAACATGTACGGAAATTGTCAGAACCAGCATTAAATGTAGCCGAAGCGAGCTATACAGGTAATGTCGTGCACTTCAGTAAGTGACGTACTTGCTGACGTAAGATTGTACTAAACGTCGAAGACATGAACATGATACGTTACGGCCCGCCGTCTATGGTGGTTTGACTAATGTGGAAGGTGAATTTTCGGGCACAATGCACGCAAACTGCTTTTAATCAGATGTAACATTTCTGTAACAGAAACAGTACTTTCTGCAAATCTTTAGTAACGTAATTTTAATAATTATCGCAATTTTCAAGTACTACACATCCAGATCATCTCACGTCGAAGCCCTATGAATCAACCTGCAGGCAACAGGAAATGATAATTTAGGGCTGGTCACTCGGCTTGTAGTAACAGTTGCTTTGCGCACCTCAACAACAGCGAGGATCTTCCACAGCTGCCGATTTCATATGCCTTCTTGCATGACCAAAGGCCAGTCCCAGAAGATAAAACATTCGAGATCGCTTTGGTATCTTTGCATCAGAAAGTGGTCAGCTGAAAACGCTGGGCGAAAAAAACATCAGCACCCCTTTTCCAGTCGAATTAATTAGAGGTGACATGGCACTAGGCGAAAAAACCAAAGCAGCGATGTAGGACGGCGAGTAAACGAACGGCGACAGCACGAACGGACTTAGGACAAGCGCGGTCACAGCAGATGATGAAAAGATACTTGGGCTTAGGCAAAATGGACTCAGTACTAGTGGAGCCATTACAGTCGGTGATAGGATGGCTGGTGAGAGCAGTTTCGGTGACAGGATATAAGGGACGATGACCCCGGGCGATAAAATAAACGGGTCCAAAATCACTGGAGATAGTACAAAGGCGGAGAGGACTGCCGGAGAGACGATCGCCGGACTAAACAAACGTGGCGCCAATATGATGGGCACGAAAAGCCAGGGGCTCAAAATAACTGCACCAAAAATAGCTGGTGAAAAAACTAAAGGAGTTAACACGACAGGAGACAAGATAACGGGCTGCGAGACACTGACTGGATCAAAAATAAATGCACTCAGTAGGATTGGTGAAAGCACTTGACGCTTCCAACGTTTCCGTGACAAATCGTGATCCATCCGAGCCAGCTGACGTACTGCCTGAATAATCTGGCCGTGAAAAGCTTCTGGACGGATGCTTAGGAATTGATTTAGCGTAGTACTGCTATGATACGGTGATGTTGGGCCGTATACATCGATCAGCTGGTCGCGCGTTAACATTGAAAAACCAGTACTGTTGAAATCCACCAACTGAATTTGTTCTTTTTAATTGAAAATGATATAGAAATAGTTGCCTATCCAAAGGCAAGAGAAAGGGAGACGTGTGTTCTGTTCGCTTTCAGTGACTGTCAAAATCGCTCCAATAAAAACCCAAGTAGAAACACATCAGCCTCGCCGGTGTAGCCACGGTTTTTTGCACACACATGAAGCAATCAGTTTGTTAACGGTATGAATGGTTGCTCTTTTACAACTTAACCCGCTCACCTATGCTGGCTGCGTTTGGCCTCTTCTTGCATTTGGGAGAGAGCGGGCGTGGGAAAGAGTCAGCTGGAATGGTAATCTTGCACCACGGAACGGCACAAAATCTTAACCTTCAATGCACACGATTACCGTAAATTTTGTATAAAGGGAAATAAAAAATTTTTGGCAACCTGCTGTTCACTGAAAATATAGTTCGGACAACGAGCAGGCGATAGAGAAAAATCACAAAATCAGAGAAAAGCGCATTCGCTTTTGAGCTAACGATAAATCTGAGCATTGGTCCTGCCCATGTGCAGCGAATTTCGCTTCTTAGCTGGATTCATATCACACCTAGACATAGAATATCCTTATAGATTTTCAGGCTCGCAGCTTGTCCAGCATCCGAGATCGCCTTTTTGCTACATATAATGTGACACGCCCCAAGACGTGGTGCAAGTGCGGCTCAAAGCTCCTTTCAGGTACAAAAGTCTCCAGACGGACGATAAATATTGTCGTAGAATTGCAGTTATTATGCGTTTTTGCATATGTGCAAATGCAACCCGGGCTGGAACGCAACAGGCCCCATTAGCACGTGACATAAATTCAAACTTGCCGCCTATCGTAACTGATCGTAGCCGTACGCCAACGGGTTGCATGGCGTTTGCAAAACCGATTTGGAATGCATCTCATGCCTTACGCACGTCTGTTAAGTGGTTGAGCGTAATGTGTGCGGTCGCGGTGTGTAGTGGGAAACGGCGCCTGTGTGTGGTACAGGGCGCCATAGGTGTATAGGGGACTACGCGTGGTTTGAATGGGAAATGCAGCTGGTGTGTACGACCAGCTGCAGTTGGTGTGTGCAGCGTGTGAATGTGTAGGACATAATTGGTACCACACAGTACGATCGATTCATTGTGCTTCCATTTGACGACTGTACCTTAT